GCAACAATTGAACTTCAAAGGCATGCAGAAAGCTTGTGGAGCTCGATGTGCAGATGTCGTGGCAGGCGCAGCTTCCACCACATCCACAAGCACCTCTTCCACATCACCACTATCGCTAGCCGACCTCAACCCTTTTGAATGATTCAAAACCTAGGACCTAAGATTTTCAACAGCCTTCTTGCTGGAGAAATCAAATGTCTTTGAGGTGTGCTCTTGCCAGACATGTCAACCCTAAGTCTTATCAGGCTCTTTGTGAAAAATTCCCCAAACTTGCCAGCGGCCGTGTTGGAAATTCTATGCAATCCTTCAAAGGTGCCTAGACCTTCTGGCCTAGACCTTTCAAACATTCCTTCGGATTCCGCACCTGCATTCAATTCTAATAGCGAACATTGTTACTACTAGTAACAAGTGCCACGCTAGTAGTAACAAGTGCCTTACTACTAGTAACAAAAAGCTATTAATTTAATTTAATTCTAATAAAAACATTGTTACTACTAGTAAGGCACCTGTTACTACTAGCGAGGCACCTGTTACTACCCCGTAAAAGAAAACTCGAAAACTCTTGGAGTTGGAAATTCCAGATTCTAGACCTGAACCCTTCAGGAAAGCTGTTACTTTGCGGAAATTCCACAGGAAAAAAAAACACATTTGGGTTTAGAGTTTGCCTAGGTTATTGACCACGCGATGCCTAGGCATGTGATTGAACACCGCAGCATTTGCGGCTGCAAAGCCCTGAAGAGTCCCAAGGAAGACGAAAGCTGCAGTCGTAGAAAAGCTGTGTTGGGCTTGAGCGACCTGTTCTAAAGTTGTGCCTTTCAAGTGAGAAAAAGCAGTCGTAGATTCCTTTGCTAGTAATTACAATTCTTTTTTAAATTCTTATTGTTACTAGTAGTAAGGCACTTGTTACTACTAGTAAGGCACTTGTTACTAGTAGCGATGCACTTGTTCCTAGAAAAGGAATCTATTTCAGGTTACGGAAAAAGAACTGCGTCCTCATCTCCACGATGCTTGGAGAGGCGAGCCGCCTGTCGATTGGCGGTTGGCCGATTGGCCCGTGGCTATTCGCGAGCAACACACAGGTTGGCCGATTGAGACTGTCGTGGCACACAATCAAAGGAACCACCTCACAGACACTTCAAGGAGCAAATGGTCGCTATTGGGTTGGAGGCCATCGCGACCATAGGCTGGAGGCCTTCTGAAGAGCTCTGCGCACTGTGTCTTCGATCCATTCGCCGAAAAGTTCTGCAGCCTCCGGACCTAGCATGATGTTGAATGAGTCAAGTCAAATCGGACCAAGTCAAGTCGGACCTTACTTTATTTAGAATTGAACAGTTTGTCTGATTTGGTGCTGCTCTTGGCTCTCTGGGTCCTCCAAAACAGAAAAAAGTAATGTGAAGGAAAATACAAGGAAGAGGACATACAACAAAATGGAAGCTGGAAAGAGAATCTGCCGAGGATAAGGACATCCAAAAAGGAAAAGGATTTGTAGGAGAAAAGGAAAGGACGGTTTCTCAAGAAGTCAACCCAAAGAACTCCCAACAAAACTGGCGCTTGGCCCCGTGGTAGGCCTTTTCTTGTTGAATGGTTGGAGGAAGCTCGGGTTGGAACAGGATAGAGGAGAAGGCAAGTAACGAAGGAAGAGGGGTCCTTGATGGGAAGCAATGGTGGAAGCGTAGCAAGGGAGCGGCTAGCGGTGGTCCTTATCATCCACCGCTGTGGGGTGTTGAAACTATACCGGAGGGCAACGAAAACAAGCCACAGAAGCCTCCAAGCAAAAGCCGATTAACAGAATTTGTCAATGTCCTTTCTTCCGTTCATCATGCCTCGGAAACGTCCTGTGTCCTTTAGAAAAATATACAGTTACAATCTTTTTCAAAACAAAAGGAACATTATGCACTGAAATTCCGAAATGTGGTAGCACCTTCTTTTGACACAAATAAAGGCAGCGTCCAACACTACAAAAAGTCTGCATGTATACCATGGCTCATGCACTTGTTGGTAATAGCTTCTTGTTACTACTAGTAAGGCACTTGTTACTAGAAGCGATGC